GGGCCGGGAGGGGGCTGGGCGGGCCCTGTCGTGCGGCGCCGCGGATCGCTGGTGGGAGCCAGACCGACCGAGCAAGCTGATCCTCGCCTCCAACAAGCTGCGGAGCCTGCCCGAGGACGTGCAGCTCCTGCCCGCGCTCACCGTGCTGGATGTGAGTGCGGGGATCCCGCGGTGGGGGTGCGGAGTTGGCACAGGTGTGTTTGCGGAAGGGAAGGACGGGTTGTTGCAGGTCGGTGATAGGTAGCGGGCCGGTTTCTGTGCTGGGGGTAGGCACTGCTGTGTAGAAAGATCCTGGCTGTGTCAGCCACAGCGTGGCCTCCAGGAGCAGGGCAGGGATTGTCCCCCTGTGCTGGGCACTGCTGAGGCTGCACCTCCAGTCCTGGGGTCACTTCTGGGCCCCTCAGGACAAGAAGGACATGGAGGGGCTGGAGCGTGTCCAGAGAAGGGCAGTGGGGCTGGGGAAGGGGCTGGAGCACAAGTCCTAGAGGAGCAGCTGAGGGAGCTGGGGGTGTCCAGCCTGGAGACAAGGAGGTGAGGGGAGACCTGCTGGCTCTGCAGCTGCTGAGAGGAGGTTGGAGCCAGGGGGGTCGGGCTCTGCTCCCCAGGAACAAGGGATGGGGCAAGAGGAAATGGGCTCCAGTTGTGCCAGGGGATTGCATGGATCTTGGGAACAATTCCTTCCTGGCAAGGGTTGTCATGCCCTGGCCCAGGCTGCCCAGGGCAGAGTCCCCATCCCTGGAGGGATCTCCAAGCCCCATAGATGTGGTGCTGAGGGACATGGGGCAGGGGTGGCCTTGGCAGGGCTGGGGGAACAGTTGGACTGGATGGTCTTAAAGGTCTTTTCCAACCCAAACAATTCCATGATTTTGCAAGATCTATGAAGTTTTATTATGGACACTGATAGAAGACCTAGTAGTGGATGCAGCCACCTTTCCTGCACTCCTCCCTCCCTTCGTAACCAATCTCTCAGCATTTACTGTCAATTCAGTGGAATTCTGACAGACTGGCAGTGTCAGTGCTGCTGTAGTTTCACTTGGGTCTGTTCATGCCTATTACTTTAATGCAAAGTTACTCTGTGCATTAGGTTGGCTTTGTTTCTGGGGTCGGGGAAAGAAAAGGTACAAATTGGTAACTATTCTAAAACCTGTGTTTTCCAGGTGCATGATAATCAGCTGACATCACTTCCTTCTGCCTTAGGGCAGTTAGAAAATCTTCAGAAACTTGATGTCAGGTCAGTACATGTTACAACACTGGGACATGGGAAATATTGCAGGGACTGTCACAGTGTGAAGAAGAAATGGCAGTTCATAACATTTTCTGTCAGAAAATTAATTTCAAATTGTTCACTGGAGAATACATTGAGTGTATTGAGAATTGTAAGTTTTGGATCAAAACTGATGGTCTTATGTTTGTTAAAATTATTTTCATGGATACTGAAAGTCACAGTCTTGCTTGGAAGGTGAAAACAGTGGGATTTTGAACAATCACACAAAACCATTATCTACATTCGTGTGCCTCAGACTGGCAGTTTTGTTTTAAAGGAACCAAAATGCTTTTTCTCATGAATAATGTACGTTGGAAATGACAGCACAGATCTTGTTCCTGCTGGAAGGTTCATATTCTTCTGTTTACTGGGGCAATTTTGTCAATTTTTGACAAGGAGAAGGAGGATGTGGAGCCTGTGTGTTGTGAACTGCATAAGCCAAAAGAATATGAGATGCATAGTGTCAGACCTAACAGAGTGTTCTTCATGCAGCTGTCTCCTCAAAACTGCTCTGTAAGTTGTTTTCTTCTTTGTGTTCCATGTTTTATCCCCAGCCACAACAGACTGACAAGCATCCCTGAAGAGCTGATGCAGTTGTCCCATCTGAGGAGCCTCCTTCTTCATCACAATGAGCTGACCCACTTGCCGGATGGATTTGGACAGCTGGTCAACCTGGAAGAATTAGTAAATTGCAATTTTTTAAAATACATTTGTTAGTGCAGAAGGGCAGATTTACCCACGTGCTGCTGCTGCTCAATTAAAACCCCATGGCTTGGGTGGCAGGACTTTGTGAATATTCTAATCAGTTCAGTAGGTTGTCAGTTGCTACATGATGGGGTTTTTGTTGTTGTTGTCTGAAGCAAGTTTTGTTCTTGTTTGGCCAATTGTTTTAAGAAAAATCAAATCCCTTGTGACCTTCCAGTCATGGGAGACTTGCTTCTTCCATTCACATTTCTAGTAGGTAGATCCTGAAGAAGCCAGCCTTCTAATTGTAATGTTCTGCCAGTAATTAACTTTGCAGAAGCAGCACTCCTGGGATATTTAAAACATTGCTATTTTTAATCTCTCTCTCTCTCCCTTTTTTAATCTCCAGGTTGTGTCCAACAACCATCTCACAGACATTCCAACAAGTTTTGCCTTGCTCATTAACTTAGTGCGACTCAATTTGGCTTCTAATCAACTGAAGAACCTGCCTGCAGATATCAGTGCCATGAGAAGTAAATGGGTGTCCTGAGATTATCACTACATGTTGTATGCTCAGTTCTGTAGTCACGTTCAGAAATGCAGGGCGTATTATTCAGGATTTTAAAAATGCATCCTTAAAGAGTTATTTATTGTCAATTAGTTCAGAATGATTATCAAAAACCAGCTACAGCTACTGTGTGTCAAACTAGAGGCCTCTTCTGGTCCCTGTTTCTTGATAAATGGGACACAGAATGATCAGAAACGTGTAAGGATTAGTATTCTTTTGCTTAGAAGTTGTTAGCCTTAAGACTGCAGTAAGCAATTTGGTTGGCTATTTTTTTCTTTATTATCTATTTTAATTGGCAAGTAAAACATAAATGAGAGTAGAAAGTGATAAAGCTGCATTCTAATATTTGGATGTTAAATACCAAGCTGACTAGTGGCTGATAAGGAATGCAGATGTTAGTGGCTGGGGCAGCTCTGCAGGAGCAGGTGGCAGACTGCCAGCTTTTATAAATGCTGCAGAAATGGCCTGCAGATCTTTCTGGAGGGGTCTGCAATTTTAGACCCTTCCTTGTTCCCTCCAGCCCATACTCCAGAGCAGAGCTGGTACCTGGCAGTGTCACTGAAGGTGTTCCAGAACGTCCTGAGAAGCAGATGCCTTGTTTTTGGGAATGTTGATGCCAACTGATCTGATTTCTTCCCAAAATTGTTCTTATGTTTGCTTTAGAAACAAAGATACTTTATGCTTCTGTAGAAAACTATTTCCTGTAGAAAACTATTTTTGCTTTCTCTTTATTTTTCTGTTTGTCATTTTACACCCTTGCTTTTATAGGCCTAAGACAACTAGATTGTACTAAAAACTACCTGGAAACTGTACCTTCTAAATTAGCAACTATGGCATCTTTGGAACAACTTTACCTGAGAAAAAATAAATTACGTTCCTTACCAGAATTTCCCTCCTGCAAATTACTGAAGGTGAGGTTGGAAGTGGTTGGCATACTCTAAATGTATTTGCTGTAAACTCTTAAAATAACAGCTGTTAACTGTGATCAGAAGTTGGTAATTATGTGTGTGGAACTCGATTTATTACACCCCATTTGCAGTTACTTTTTGCTGTCCACATGGATCAATATTCAGGTCATTTGGGAGACTAATTTGCAGCAGTCCTCTGCAGATGGGGAAAATCAATATTTAGAAGAGGGATGACTGAAAAACTAGATCTAGCCTTGCCTGCAACAGTTATTTTTATCTCTTAAGTATGTTTTCTGAGTAAAATTACTCTGCTAATTTTTTTCTTTGTAAATGCAAATACAGTAGACTTAATTTTTTTCCTTTTAGCATAGTCAAATCTTGCAGGTATTTGGTAGCCTTAATTCCTGATGTGTTTTGAATAGAGGGCTGCCTGCCTCAGCATATAAGACATTGGTTGTTAAACTAGCAGAAAAATACGTGGGCAGGTTGAATGCCTGTGTCTCGGTGTTGTTCCAGTGACCAAATCCATCCAAGAACACAGATACCTTTTTAGTTCTGCAAAGCTCTGAACACAGCAGTGAAAATCCCAAGCCATGTCAGCATTTGCTGACAAAATCCATGTTGCTGTGTGTTCAGTGTCTCAGTGTGTCTAGCAGCATGCCTAATTTTTCCTTCAGAAGTGAAACATTTCCAACAGGGAGGTGGAGAGCTGCCCTCTCAACTTCCTATGACTTGGAATTTAAGACATTCTAGAGTATATAAGTCGTTGACAAGTTTTTGAAGCAAGTTTGTTCCTGGCTTGGAAGTGGAACTGAAAGCTTGAGGGTTCTGTGGTGGTTTCAGAAGAGCTAAGTTCAGACTCCTCATATCTCTGGGTCCTTGGAGGCTTTGATGTGTCATATGCAGGTGAAAGGGAGCTGAGATCTATATTTTCTCCATTACATTGTGTGTTTTTGCTGATGATATGATTGAGGGGATTAGTATGTTATCAAGTAATTTTGCTAGAATAATGGAATTGTGGGTGGTCTTTGTTTCTGTAGGAATTACATGCTGGTGAAAATCAGATTGAAATTTTGAATGCAGAGAATCTGAAGTATCTGAATTCCCTCTCTGTGCTGGAACTGAGAGACAACAAGATAAAATCAGTTCCTGATGAGATTACTCTGCTGCAGAAGCTGGAGAGACTTGACCTTGCCAACAATGATATCAGTAGGTAATATTAAAACCTGCATTGTGTCTGTGATGTGGCTTGGCTGCTGACATCCAGTGACAACTAATTCTGCAGCTGATGTATTTCACTTGGTGAAATGTAATTAAAAAAGGATTCAGTCATAAAATGAAGGAACCCTTCCTGCATTTTGTAATTGCTGTGAGCCAGCTGGGCCTTTCTTTAATATGTTCTGTATCTTTTTAGTTAAACTCAAGCTTTAGAATACCAGGCCATTGACAAACCCTTGCACGTTCTTCAGAAGCTGCTTTGAGATGAGTTGCTTCCATTTGCAGGTTGCCTTACACCTTGGGGAACCTTCCTCAGCTGAAATTCCTGGCATTGGAAGGGAATCCTCTCAGAGCCATCCGCAGAGACCTGCTGGAGGTGAGCACCCCAGGCAGGGCATCAGGGTGGGTTGTGTGGCACGTGCAGCTTAGCCTGATTGTGCAGCCAAGGCTGGAACAAAAATAGAAAACATCCAGAATTCCAGTAGCCTGTGCAAATTTGTGATTTTGGACATGAAGAGTTACTGGAACACTGAACAGCTTCCTTGGCAAATTTTAAATTTCTTCTCCAAAGCATAATTGGTTTAGATCTTTTTTAAAGAGATTAGGTTTATTTGAACATTTTTTTCCTTCCTCTTGCAACTGGCTAGCTGGATAAAAAGCTAAAAACGTGGAGCCTGAGGCACTGACATGGGATTGAAAATTTTCAGCTAGAATAAATAAACAAAATTGCAAATAAGCAAGTTCAGAAGCTGCTGCTAAGAGGGTTTTCTATTCAAAGAGGGTTATTCTATGGGAAGCATTGGGTGGCTGTCACAGTCAGCAGAGCTGTGGGCCCTGCCTGGGACTGCCCTTCATTGTCACACAGCTTTGGAAACCCTGGCTGGCAAATGCTTATTGGCTTTTTTTTTTTTTTTTTTAAAGAAAGGCACCACCCAGGAACTTCTGAAATACCTAAGAAGCAGAATCCAAGGTAAGTTGCTCTATTGCACTGCATTTTAAAGAGAATCTTTCTAAGAAATTAAAATAGAGTTGAATCTACAGAGGGCAGCTCATTAAATCCAGGTTCCTCCAGTTGTCCTCCAATAATTGAGTTTTCTTTCCTCATCAGTTTGTCCTTCTATTTCAGTGTTGTTTCTTATTCACACTTTATGAGATTATACTGAGTAAAAAACACTCCTTAGTGAGGATTGTAAATTAGAAAAATAAAGTGTTTTTCCCCTGCTCCCTCCATGCATTTCACATGAGGAGCAGGAACTTCTGAAATACCTAAGAAGCAGAATCCAAGGTAAGTTGCTCTATTGCACTGCATTTTAAAGAGAATCTTTCTAAGAAATTAAAATAGAGTTGAATCTACAGAGGGCAGCTCATTAAATCCAGGTTCCTCCAGTTGTCCTCCAATAATTGAGTTTTCTTTCCTCATCAGTTTGTCCTTCTATTTCAGTGTTGTTTCTTATTCACACTTTATGAGATTATACTGAGTAAAAAACACTCCTTAGTGAGGATTGTAAATTAGAAAAATAAAGTGTTTTTCCCCTGCTCCCTCCATGCATTTCACATGAGGAGTTCCAGTAGCTTTTTTCTTTTGCCACTGAGCATCATGAGAAGTTATGTGAGGGCTTCTTCTTCCTGAGCTTGCCATCTGCCTGCTGGCTTGGTCACTACATTGTGGCCAAGAGCAGGTGGTATTTTGCAAAGGTATCGTGTGTTATTCATTCATGTAAGACCATGGGCAGTCCCAGAGGGTGCACACAGGGGAAAGCCTGCCTTAAAGTCCTGATGATGCCAGGAACTCTGCCTCCTAGCTGGCTCAGAACATAAAAACGTTTTGGGGGAGAAAGTAACTGATTTTTAACATTATTCTAATCCTGTTAGAGTTCATCTTCCTACTGTCTAATAGTCTTGATCCCAACATTCCCTATAGAAATAACTAAAAAGTCATACAGCAGAAAATGAAAAGAAATATTTAAAGGGGATAAATACTCTGCCTCAGTGCTGGATGTGGTTTTGCAGCATCCTCTCTTGGATTCAGAGCTCTGCCTCTGGGGGTTAAAAAGCACCAAGATGATTGATTCTGTATCACATTTCTCTGACAGATCTGGTACTTTAGGCATTTTATTTATTATTTTTTTTCCTCTTTGTTCTGTATTTTCTAAAGAAAATAGGCATGACAGTTGATTTATCATTGTGACTTGTGTGCTGGGAAGATGAAATCCTTTCAAAACAGGGCTTCAGTTTTACATCTTCAGCAGTCTTCATCTTTCCTAAGTTTTAAAAGCTAAAGCAGGCAAAATGACTGAGTCCACTGGCCATGTTAAATATAATACTAGGATATGATTATGCTGCACTTGAATGACAAAAAAAAGTGTTTAACCTCTTAATTTAGAAGGAGCCTTGTTCATTTATGCAAGCAATTTTTATGGAAAATGGCATGTGTGTATTTTCCTTTTTAAGTGGGTTTTCTCTCCATCTGCCAGAGGATGGCAGCATTAATTAGGCTACTGCAGGATGTAAAATTGCTTCAAAATGTCAGATTTCGTGCAAACCTGACAGACTATAACTTGACAGAAATTAATTAAATGCTGGAGTGCATACTCAGGCTCATCTGGTGAGCTGTAATAGATAAAACAGTTGTGGATAATAAAATTATCTAATGTCTTGCTTGTTCAGCAACACTTGCTCTGTCCATTCTGGCATCCAAGTTGGAGCTAAACCACTAGCTGTCCTGTTTCTGTAGAGATTTAAACTGGGGAAAGTCCTCTTGTTTAGGTTGTTTTTGACCCTTTGCTCTTCCTTGGTAACAGGATAACTAGTTGTGGTCAGACACAACTGTTAGTACTTACTCATGAATGCTGCTGAATTTCTCTGGAGGTTTGTTCCCCTTCAGCCTTTTCATGTGGGTTGTAGGTGTAAATCAAAAGGAGCTGTAGAGAGGGGCATGTGCTGAAGGTTTATAAACATGAATGTTTTAGCTAAAGTTATGGTCAGATGTGCTGCTCTGGGGATAGGTGATCTGAATCATCATTTCTAGGACAAATTCCATGGCTCTGGTGCTTCCTCACCTATATTTCAAAATCCAAGTTAACCCCTCTCCTTCCCAACCTCCCTGCCCAAAAACCAAAACCAACCATAAACCCAAGAGCACAAAATACTCTTACTAGAAAATTCTTGAAATCATGTCAATCAGATGCTACACAGTCGAGCCAGAACACAGGAGCAGTTAAAAAGGGTGGGATGGCAGGTGACCAGGGACACCAGACCTCTCCACCTGGGTCACTCAGAGCAGCTGGTCTGCCTGGAGTCTGTGTGACTCTTTGTGTGTGTTCACTCCAGATGATGTGACCAGCCCAAATGGAGAGCCTCCTGTGACTGCCATGACTCTGCCCAGCGAGTCCAGGGTTAACATGCATGCCATAACTTCCCTGAAATTACTGGAATACAGGTATGTGGTGTGAAATGCTGCCTGTTCCTGGAGTTGTCACAACACTTCCCTATGTTTTGCCTTTGGTTGGTTGATTTGGTCCCCTTCATGATACCTAACAAACCATCTGCAAACCCTGCTGTGTTTGTACGTTTCTCACTTGAGTTTGTGTGCTCAGGAGCTGGCAGATTTGAATTGCAGGAGTTTAAGTGTTTGTTTGTGTCACCAGAATGTGTCATTACTCTGCAGTAACATTCCTTTTAACTCCCTGGGGTGCTTAATACCTTCAGGTGCTCTTAGTACCTCCTAAACTTCAGTAAGTCTCTCTTCAGGCATTTCCTGACTAACCAGCAGTGTCACTGATTAGGTTGGGAAAGGGGAAGCAAACCTGCTGGGTGAAGTGCAGAGTCCTGCTGAGAGCTGGAACATGGAAAGGACCCTCCTGGTGACAGGGCTTGGGGTGGCTTTGGTCACCACCAATGTCCAGGTGCTCGAAATGGAGGAGTTTAACCCAGCTGCACCTCACTGGTCTGGGGATGGCCTCTGAGCTGAGAGGGGGAGATGTGTTCAGTGCCAGCCTTGCTGTGCTTTGGGGCCCAACAGGCACCATTCAGGTGGGAGCTGAGGCAGGGACAGCTCTGACCAGTTCTCAGGCAAGGTGAGGGTCCCAGAAGGAAACAGCTGTCACCCCAAAGCCCTGAGCATGGGCAGGGATTGGCAGCTCACTGATTAGCAGTCCTTCAAGGACTTCAGATGTTAGATATTTATATAGCTATTCCACTATTCATCTTGTTCTGAAAGGAGAAAATATCTCGTTAATAAATAGGAAATGATGAACTTGTTCATGTTACTCAGCTGAATGCTTTTCACTGCTCAGTGAGAAACAGGCAGCTGTGGTTCCTGATGAAATGTTCCAAGCAGTCAGAAGCCATCCTGTCACCACGGTCAACTTCAGCAAAAACCAGCTGAGTCAAGTTCCCCCAAGGTACTTCTCTAAAGGTCTTTCTCTATTTGCTACTTTATTTTCTGCTCTTGTTCCTCAGCACCTTGTGTGTTTCCTCAACAAATGTATTTGCACTTGGTGCCATTTCTGTGTGTACAGATGGATGGAAGTGTCATTGAGAGGCTGAGCACTGCACTTGCATTGTTTCTGAGGAGCAGGCAGGTGGGTTCCTTGGCTGGGAGGAGGATGCAGCAAAAAGAAGCTTGGCCAGTCAATGGTGCTCTCATAACATGTTGTTTTATCATCTTGCTTGGCTGAGCCTTGTTGAATTGAGTGAGTGGAGACTGGTGTGACTTTTCATCATAATGAAGTGCTGTACTCAGCCACAGTGTGGGATTGTTCTCTCTACAGAGCAGTCTTTCTTCCCATATGGAGATAATCTGTGTGGATTCACCACTTCCCTGGGTGATAGCTTGGAACTAGAGCTGAGGTCCTGCTTAAAATTGGTTTCTTCACATAGCATAATTATGGGGGTTTTTTAATGGAACCTTGAACAATTTCCTTGCCTCTTGATAGGTTTTGTGTCCCATCACGTAGCATTTGATGTCATTGCATTTGTTACTTCATCCACAGTCAAGGAAAAGCTTTCTGGTGACACAGATGGGAATAGTCTTTAGTGTCAGGAGGAAGGTTACTGCATCTCTGGTAGCCTCCCAGAAATCATGAAAGCTGATTTTTGAGAATACTGCCGCATTTGTGGGGTTAACCTAGTTCCATTCTTGGACCCAGGTGTGTAGAACATTTAACCTTTGTCACATAGAACTTGAGGAGGTGTATCTCTTTCTCATAGGGAAAAAAAAAAAAAATCTCTTTTCAGTACAATTTGTAGAAAATCAGTGTAGGGAGGTAATGGTTGTGCCCCGTGTGCTTGTCCTGTGTGGGAGCTGTTGCATTCCCAAGGGAGGAAGGTGTGGGTGTGCAGCTGCTGGGTGCCACAGGCTTCAGTGCCAATCCAGGTAGGAGAGATGAGTGTGCTCTCATGTAATGACCTTCTGTTATAAGGGCTGAAATGGAGCTTCTGTCCTAGGGATTCAATAACTTAACTTGGTGAGCTTGTAAACGTTTGACGTCAAAGCTGCTTTATTATAATATTCTTTTGCAAGAAGCAGCACGTGCTGCCCCCCTGAAACCTGTTACAGCAGATCAGTGGAACAGAAGCAAAAGGTGGAAATAAAAGAAGAATCTCTCTCTTTTTGTTTGACTGCTAAAGAAGGTGGGCAGGGTCTTTTTGTTACAGCATTCATGGGGCAGGATGTGGCAGTGGTGGTCACCTGTTTCTGAAAGACCTCAGCTGTGTTTCAGTGAGTAGCCTTTTGCAGGACAATTTGTTCTCCTGCTAGAAAGGAACTGTGTCTATACATTAAGTGTCAGACTCCAGGCCAGGGAGCTGTCACAGGTGAGGTTTCCATTACTGTCACTCCACAAAATTGCTTCTGAAATGTGAAGAAACAGATTTCCAGAATGAAGCAGGTTGGTTGTTGGGGTTTTTTTCCACAGTAACTTAGAAAATAGATTGCAAACATGAGCTTACATAATAAAAGTTTATTCCTGTTGGGTTTCAGGATTGTGGAGCTGAAAGACTGGGTTTGTGATGTCAACCTTGGCTTCAACAAAATATCATCCATTTCCTTGGAGCTTTGCATGCTCCATAAATTGACACATTTGGATATCAGGTTTGTGTTGGACTTCCTTTCTGGGGAACTGATTTTCATGCCTTCTGAAAGCAGCCATCTGTGAGAGTGGAAGGGCAGGACTGAAATCATTTCTCGTTTCCCCAAATGCCTCCATGGCAGCTGAATGAGTGGCAGATTGGAAATAGTAAGTGGCCTGGATTTAGGCATTGGTTACAGGAAAAGAGAGAAAAACAAGTTAAAGTGTCATGACCTGGGGAGGGCAGCCCAGGGAGATTCAGACTGGACCTCAAGGGGTCCTGGGTTGCCCTCCCTGGCTCGTGACACTAGTGGATGAGCTCTGGTACCTGCTGTCATGAAAGGCCCTGCCTCAGTCATGAAAGGCTCTTGGAGATCAGTTGCTGTTTGAAAACACCCCAACCTCACCGTGCCAAAGAAACCACACCAAAAGATCCTGGAGGTAGGACAGTGAGGGTCCAAACCCTGTTGTCCTATGGGGTGGTTGTGTGAGGAGTGGGAGGGTGAGCAGCAGCATGGCCAGGGAGGTGATGGAGGTGCTCTGAGGCTTGGTCCAGGTGAGCTCCAGAGGTCCCTGCCAACCTGTGACATGTGACATACGTGCTGCTGGTGGAGGAGTTAGGCTGAAGGCTGCAGAAATAGATAATTGTATGAGAGGGATGAGGGAATGAGGCCGAGTATCAGTGATTAAGAACTTGGGTCTAAGTCTGGGCATCTTTCAGTGAGTGGTCTTCATTGCCCTGTGATGGCTCTTTGTGTCACACTCAGGAAGAACCTTGTTTGTCCTTACAAGTCCCAGTCTCCCTTGCATTTAAGAAGCTTCTGAATGGCTTCCTGCTGTGAGGAGCCCTGGGTCAGAGTGGCCATAAACCAGTTTGTTTCAGGACTGGGATACCAGCCTATGTGAATTTTGAAGAGGTTTGGAGTTCTCCTGCTCACTCACTCTGGCACCAAGATCTGGGCAGATCCATGAGCTTCCCTCTGAAACCCACCCAGCTTGGGGTTGTGGGATGCTTGGAAATGTTGGGGAATCTTTAGAGGACAGATCTTTAAATCTCCTACTGGCAGGAGTGAGAATGCAAACCCAGTTTGCCTCAGCAAGCATCTGTACTTGAGCATGGTCTTGACCACTTATGAAGCAGTTAATTGGTTTAGCCAGCACGTTGGCACTGGTGGGGATGTGTTTTGTGTCTGGGTTCTGAACTAAAACTTCCTATAAGTTGGTGATGATTGTTTGTCTTTTTTTGATATACAGAAATAATTTTTTGACATCTTTACCTGAGGAAATGGAGTCACTGGCAAGACTGCAAATAATAAATCTTTCTTTTAACAGGTGAGCAACTATTTAGATTTACATATTTTTATATATACATATAAAAAAGTACAATAATGAAAAGAACTAGGCTGAATTCAGTATGATTTTCCTGTGACAAAGGAGTGAGGAGGCACTTGACCAGCTGGCTGATTGTAAAGGCTGCTGAGTCTTTGAATGCCCCATTTCTGACTGTCACTGCTTTGTCTCCTGTTCCTTGAAGGTTTAAAGTGTTTCCCTGTGTCCTGTATCGTATCCTGGCACTGGAGACCATCCTGCTGAGTAACAACCAGGTTGGGTCCATAGACCCTCTGCAGCTAAAGAAGATGGACAAGCTTGGAACACTGGACCTTCAGAACAACGACCTCCTCCAGGTGCCACCAGAACTTGGAAACTGTGAAAATCTCAGGTATGTGTTTTAATTGGTGACCTGTTTTATAAAGACATGTTCTGACTGATTCCTTCAGGGCATGTTTTGTCTGAGGAAAAAGTGCTAATGAGCAGGATACTTGGTTGTAGGTCTCAGGGCACTACAAGGGTCTCTCACCATTTGTAAACCAATGCGATTTCTTCTGTATTTTCTCAATATTGCAGAGAGTTGGGGGAGTTGTTTCATGGTTTATAAAAAAACAGGAAAGTTTAAATTGGTTTGTGTAAAGCTGATGTTGGAGCTGGGTCCTGTCACCCTGTGTCTGTGTACAACAAATGGCTGGTCCCTGCTGTGCTTTTCCCCTTTGAGGACACTTCCCAGGGGGACTTCAAACATAGAACATGAAGCACCAGCCCATGCAAAAGACCCCCTGAGATTTCTGTGCCACAGGAGCGTGGGCTGGTGGCTGAGCTAGAAAGTGGAGGGTTATGATTTAACCTAGATTTCCCTTGGATTGAGCCATTTCTGTGTTTCACAAGTTCTTTTTCTCATGCTTCCTTGTGGCAGATTCTTGCTAAAGAAGCGCGTGTGTGTGTGTGTGTGTGTGTGTCCCTACAACAAGATAGCACCACTGAGCAATTAGCATACATCAAAATTCAGATGTCTCTAAAGGAGATAAGCTAGTGTGAACTGGGGAAACAGAAATTAAAATTCTTGTAGTAGAACAGAAGAGGCATTCCTTATGAATTTCCAGGTTCACAGCTGTCTGTGCAGTGCATGGCTGCAGGGAGTGACTCCAGCTCTGTGTTCCAGGACCCTGCTGTTGGAAGGAAACCCGTTCCGCACTCCCCGGGCAGCCATCCTGGCCAAGGGAACAGCTGCAGTGCTGGAGTACCTGAGAAGCAGAATTCCTGCCTGACACCACAGACTTGGCAGCCCCAGGAGCCAAAGTCCAGGCAAAGTGTTGCCCTCTGGTACCTCTGCCTCCCCCTCCTCTGTCTCTCTGTTCTCCCCGTGCCACACAGCATTGCTCACACAGTTTGCACCTTCAGACAGAACTCACCTGTGGAATGTTTTCCCTCAAGGTTGCATGTTTCAAGTGCTTTTTTTAAATTCCACACTATCTGTTTACACTTTTTTTGTAACAAAGAATGCCACAAACAGCTGCCTTCAGGACTCCTGACAATGATTTTTCTACAGTTAAGCTGTTTTTTATAAGAATTGTCAACACCCAAGTATTTGAGCAAAAGGCTTTTTGTAGTGTCCTGTGAGGTGTTTCCCCCTGCAGTGCTGCCTCAGAACTGGGCTGCTGGTCTGTGTGGAGCCCCTGAGCTGTGGTGATGATAAGGTCAGTGTGAGATGGGCTGTGGGGCTGCCCAGGGCTCCCATGGAAGGAAGCAAAATGTGGTTGATGGTGGTGGCTGCACTGAAACAATAAATGGTTCCTGTTGGATGTATGGTTTGGGTCTCTTTAAGCTTACTCTAGAGTTGTTTGCTAGCCAGTAACATTTAGATGCTTCTGTGTTAGTATTTAAACACCCTTCCACGTCCTCAAAAGTGACCCCCACATGAATAATAGTGATGCATGAGGGATGGGGTTCACAGATGAAGGGAAGGGCTGCACCTGCTGCCTGGCCTGGGCAGCTAAAATCAGAATAAGACAAAGCTTCCACATAGAAGACATCCTTGCTGAGCTGGAGGAACAGAGTCATGGCCCTGACCCTCCTGTTCCTCTAGTCCACGTGGCACTTGTGCCCATCCACAGACTCCAGCACCCTCAGCTCTCCTGGCAGGATTGCAGCCCCTCCATGGCCAAGGGGTTGGGCAGGGGGAGCTGCTCACTTTTCAAGTTTCTCTCTGGTGCATCCGGTAATTAAAAGGAGTGTTTCCCTCCAACAGCTGCTGCTTTGCTGGTAGGTGCAGCCAACAGGGCAGTGAGGGACAGCACTGATGAGCAAGTGTCCAAACCAACCATCTCATGTCCAGAGCAGCACCCCTAGAAACCTCAGCTCCTTTCCAGTAGTAAAAGATGACAAAAAGTGAATTACAATAAGGTGACGCTTTTATTATTTATACAATAGACTTTTTATAATTTTTTTTAATGTTATTCAAAACACTTTTTTATTTTTTATTTTTAAATACTGAAAAAGTTGGGTACATCAAAGCCTAAAAATGGCTCTGCTGTACACTGCACAGCATTGGTTGGGTCCCTGTCCTGGCTTGATGTAGAGAAGCAGCTGCAAAATGCATCCCAACACCATCTGCACCTCCCGGGGGGCAAGTGTCATGAACAGAAAATGAAACTGGAAAGGACACAACCTGCGTGTGCAAATTAACTGACAATAGAATTGATTGCACTGAATCAATAGATTTAAAATATAATTTTGAAGTACCTTTTTTTTTTTCTTTTGCACATAAAATGAAGCAGCTTTCAAGTTCAGTAAGTCTTTATACTGCAAAAAACATTAAGTACATTCACAATCTATGTTAATAAAGTAGTAAATATTTCTTCATTCAGCTTTATTTACATGAATACTGTAATTAAACTGAAAAGTACAGTCATCTGTAATATAGCAATCTTTTAACACATACAAAAAAATGACCATTTTCCTGTATATAATTTAAGCTCAAAATCACAATTATCTCAAAATATTAATTACAATACAGCCATCTCCATCATAATTAAACATGTCTTTTATAAAATGGTAAAATTGTTTACTAAAGAAGGAAGCTGTTGGTTCTGAACTGGATACAGTACTCAGGAGTAGAAAACAAGGGTGGGCTGGGGGCTGTGGGGGCAGAGCCCCCTGGGTGCCCCGAGGCAGAGACGGCCCCAGTGGCAGCGACGGAGCCTCTTGTGCTGGGGGCTGTGGCTGGGGGGCTGCAGCAAGGGCCTCACGAGGGCTGGGGAGTTCTTACACAATGCAATGGTGTCATTCACCTCCAGAATGGTGCTGGGGTTGTCCAGGAATGGCCTGGCAAAAGGCTGTTCTTAAATTTAATTGTTCAAGGGGACCCATCTCACCTGCGTGGGTCCCGAGTGCTGGGTTGAACGGTGCCACTCGTGGGGCCCGTCCTCACACAGCCCCACACCCAAGGTGTCTAAAACAAACAAAAACAAACTGCAAACAAACAACAAACCAAACCACCAAGTCAGTCCTATCCTAGCCAAACTACTGGCCTGAAAGTTGTATGGTGATGGTGTTCCTCCAACACCTCCCAGCGCCCGGAGGCAGCGCCGGGGGGCTGAGGGTGCTGCTGGAAATGGCAGGTCTAGGGGCAGAGGGGGGAAGCAGCCAGGCTGGGAGCACACACACCAGCCCATGGCCAGGGAGCTCACACTGCAGAGGAACCTCGATGCTAAATGTAAAAAAAAATCACACCAGGGAAAAGCTCTGCCACGGGAGGCAGTGACTCCCCAGCCACAGCTGGGGCTGATCCTCTCCTGTGCCTGTGAGGAATGGTGAGACCTGGATACCTGTGCCAACGCCTGGTTCTGTTCTGCAGGGCTCACCTGGCTGCCCGGGAGAGGGGAGCACTGCAGCAGAATGCTGACCCTCCTCCTGTTCCCAGGAATAACTCCCTGCTGTCCAACCACCCAGTGCTGAGCCCGGGTCTGCTCTGCAGCCCCAGAGCCTGCAGCCGAGCAGAGGGACACGTATGGGGTGTCATTTAATTCCCTCTTTGCATTTACTGTTGCATATATCTCCATCAGATATATACATATATACACACACAGCTATAAATAAGCATTTTTTGATTGCATAAGGTGATGAGCTGCTATATTACAAGCCACAGAAGTCGAACCAAAGAATGTCTTTACATTCCAAGTGCTCCCCAGCAACAGCCAACGAAGCTCCTGAATGGTTCAGCCTGTGATTTTTTTTTTAGTTGGATTTTTGGCTCATGATGATTAGTGGTGTTCTGTGCCACAAGTGCTCTCTCCCTTTTAGGGTGTTCCTAGAGAAGCTAAAAGTATGGCTATTACAGCAAGTCTGCCAAGGTCATTTCATTCCTG